CGCAATGTCCTGATTTCACCAGTGTGGGCACCAATTGTGAGGAGCCCTGGCTCAGTGGCTTGCAGTAGATGATAAGAGAGCCAGGCATTGTGGCCAGAGTCGGTGTCCACAGCCACCACCTTTGTAACCAGGTACCCCATCTCTGCCGAGCGAGGCACCATCTCAAAGGAGGCTGAAGCTTCTGCTCCTGGAGAAGGATACAGAATTTGAGGGCTTTGATCATTTTGGTCCTGGATGAACACCTTCAATGTGGCATTGCTGCTGAGAGGTGGGGAGCCTCCATCTTCAGCCTTCACCTGTACCTCAAATTCCCGGAGTTGCTCATAGTCAAAGGACCTTTGAGAATAGAGGGTGCCACTTTCTGAGTTAATGGAGAGGTAAGACGGGAGAGGTAGCGCCTCTATTTTGCTAGTGAGGATGGAATAGGTGATCCTAGCATTGCGACCAAGATCGGGGTCTACAGCTTTGATGCTGAAGATGGAGGAGCTAGCAGGATTGTTCTCTGCCACATAGACGGTGTATGAGGATTTCTCAAAGGTAGGGGCATTATCATTGATATCCGAAATCTCCAGTGAGATGGTTTTCTGTGTAGAAAGAGGGGGTGTACCTTTGTCTGTGGCTGTGATTGTAAGATTGTATGCTGGGGTGCTTTCTCTGTCTAGGGGACCATCTGTCAGCAGCTTATAGTAGCCATTAGCTGCTGATACTATTTTGAATGGGGAGGCATTCTGTAAATGGCAATTGACCTCCCCATTATCCCCTGAATCTTTATCCTTTATATTGATGAGGGCTACCAATGTTCCTAATGGAGAGTTTTCCGGAATTTCTCTGGATGAGGAGGCGAGAATTACTTCTGGGGCATTGTCATTCACATCTACCAGATTTACTTCAATGTTACAATGAGCTACTAAGCCACCTCCATCTCTTGCTTCTATCACCATTGTGTATTTCTCTATTTCCTCAAAATCTACCTCTTCCCTTATTGTTACAATTCCATAATGTGGCTCTAACTCAAATTTTTGCTGCACACTATCAGCAATGTTGCTAAAGGAATAATTGATCTGACCATTGGAACCTTCATCTTTGTCTGTAGCTTTGACTTGTATTACAGTAGATCCCTTTGATGCATTCTCTTTGAGGCTGATTTTGTATACTTTTTGACTAAAGACAGGTGGGTTGTCATTAGCATCTATGACTGTAATCTGTATTTTGGCTGTTCCAGTTTTTGCAGGGTTTCCTCCATCAAGAGCTGTAAGGGTTAAACTAACAGTACTTTCACTTTCATGATCCAATTGTTTTTCCAACACTAATTCTGCATACTTGTTTAAAGAGTCTTGTTTAGTAATTGCTAAAATGAAATATTTGTTAATATTTAGATGATAATTCTGGAGAGAATTTGTTCCAATATCAGGATCTTCTGCTTGTTGAAGAAGAAATGTGGCTCCTGGTAAAGAGGATTCACTTATCTCTAGTTTGATATCACCATTTAAGAAATGTGGTGCATTGTCATTAATATCCTGGATCTCTACTGTTATGTAAAATATGTCCATGGGGTTTGCACTCACCACTTCAAAACTGATGGGGCAGAGTGCAGTTTCCCCACAGATTTCCTCTCTGTCAATCCTGTCTTTTACATACAGATTCCCATTTTCAGCATTAATGGAGAAATACTGCTTTTTGCCTAAAGAAAGGATGTGCAGGTTGCGATTTCCCACTTCTGCAGCACTCAGTTTCAGATCCTTGGCAAGATTCCCCACAATGGAACCCTTTCCCATTTCCTCTGGAATTGAATAGCGAAGGTGCTCCGAGACAGTCTGGCAGACGAAAGACATTAAGAAGAGGAGACATACTTGCCTTTTTACAGATCTGCTCTTAGCTTTGCTCCTGCCGTCCATCCCAACTACGATGAAAAGTGCTTTGTGCAATCCAGTAAGCTGAGCAGTATAAATT